TGGGGAGGAGTGGCGGGAAAGCTGCCATGCAGAAAAGGACCTGGGGTTGTTGGTCAGCAGCTGACTGAACATGAGCCAGCAGTGTCCATGAAGACCAATGGCATCCTGGCTTGTAACAGAAATGGTGTGATCAGCAGGACCAAGGAAGTGATCCTTCCCCTGTACTTGGCACTGGTGAGGCCACACCTCCAATACTGTGTTCAGTTTTGGGGCTCTTACTACAAGAAGGACATTGAGGCACTGGATGGCTTCCAGAGAAGGGCAACAAAGCTGGTGAAGGGTCTGGAGTACAAGTCTTATGAGGAGCAGCTGAGAGAACTGGAGTTGTTTAGTCTGGAGAAGAGAAGGCTGAGGGCAACATTATTGCTCTCTACAGCTACCTGAAAGGAGGGTATAGCAAGGTTGGGGTTGGTCTCTTCCAAGTCACTAGCAATAGGACAAGAAGAAATAACCTCAACTTCTGCCAGGGGAGGTTTAGATTGGATATTAGGAAAAAATGTCTTCACTGAAAGGGTTATCAGGCATTGGAACAGGTTGCCCAGAGCAGTGGTAGAGTCACCATGCCTGGAGTTATTTAAAAGACAGGTAGATGAGGTGCTTAGAGACACGATTTAATAGTGGACAGGTTATAGTTGGACTCAATTATCTTAAAGTTCTTTTCCAACCAAATGATTCTATGATTTCTTCAAAACTGTTGTTCAGTTTTTCTTTGTAGAATAATATGGACTAGTTTTGGTTACTTACATATAAAAAAAATCACCTCTGATCTATCCAGACTGTACTGAACTCTAAATATGTACAATTTGGAGTTTAGGCTTACCTGTTTTGAGTTTGTTAAGTAGAGTTTTGCCCCCAAATTTAAGATCTGCAACTTTACAAGGTCATCTTCATTAGTGAAGCTCTTGGCTGTCTTCCTCAAAACATCAGGTGAGATCTTTGGAACTCGTTCACAGTACTCACCGATGAGCCAGAGAATGCTGGCTCTGGCAACTGGAACCTGAGAAAATATTGTGCACTCTAAGTTAACACACTCACAAAGACTATTTGCATACTTGTACATGTCTGTGTTCAATAACAAGTTAAACAAAATACTGTTTAAAGACAATTACCATACAAGCAATACAAACCCAAATCAAATACTGTTCAATATGGCCACTGCAGTTGACTGAATGTTCGTAGAAACGTAATGTGAAGATCCTGCCACAAAACCCATCCATTATGAGTTGACAAGACAAACAGGGCAGGAATGGAAACAGAGGCACACAGAAGCTGCATGATGATGTTCACAGTACAAGCTGGTGAAAGTACAAGCAAGTGAAAGGCTTGAGGATCCAAGCCTTTAAGGCGTGGTTGGGAATTCTTGGCACCAGGCTACACTAAACATCATGCTGAAACAAAACAGTGCTTTTTTGTGACTATATTAATATAGAAATGGTTTCCAGCAATACAATTTCCTCAGCTTCTGCCTATTTACTTCAAAATAACATGAATTTCTTTAAGACTACTGCTATCTCCTTCATTTTAAAAAAAATTTATGACACTAAGATTCATATTTTTGCACTTGTCCAAGGCCAGCTGAACATCAAACTCCTGACTTCAAAAGCACAGCACTGTCACAAAAGGAGGTGAAGCAAAATGGAAAAGCACAGAAGGAAACAGAAGTTCTTGCTCCACACAGAGTTAAGCTAGAATTAGTTAGAAGTTCAATGAAATAATATACACACTTTTCTCAAAAGTGAGTTAGCCTGTATTACCTAGTGGCCAAATTAAAAACTGCACCTGTGTTAAATATCTCCCTGAAAACGTCCTACCTTGAGAGGAAGGAAGTATGCGATGAGAGAATTCTTCTAGGGAGAAGCATGTCTTTCATAGCATCTATAGACTGTGGTGCTCTCACATCTTACTTTTTAAGAAGTAAAAAACATTTGTACAAAGACTTTCCATTACCCCTTAAACTACACAGCAATCTTTTTTAATAAGCTTACACTTAAGCCAATGAGAATTCTGTCTTAGCAAAGATTCACAGGAGAAACAAGCCTGAGAAATTGTGCACTGTGGTTCTCAAAGCAGTCTTAGCATCTTTATATATGTTTTAATTACTTTTCCAGCATATGTCAGACAGTTATTCACAGATGAAGATCTATTTCTCAGAGTTACAATGCCAATCAACTATCAAGCATCCTACCCTGTATACACATAAAATTTGAAAGTACTGCTTTCCAGTTACATCCACAAATGGTAAAAAATGCAAGTAAACTACTGAGGTTCAGGATAGAAATTTCCAAACTATGGTCCCCAGTCCCTAATAAATGGCTCACTAATCCATATGAAGAAATACTGATTATGTCCACAAGAAGTTATAATGATTAAACATGTTTTACTGCTCCAAAAATTTTGGGAACAGCTTTGAATAAGGTCAACCTAACAATATCTGCCTCTATACTTCCCACTGCTGCAAACAGTCATGCCAACAAAAGCCTAAAAAGGCATGTCATGGAGAAAGCAGAGGACTGCCTCTGCTGGAGGAGAAAGCAACCAGGTCATGGAAAGAGAATACATGAGCTCAACAATAAAAACAAAAAAGGCCCTTCGAGAGATCAATGGCAATTCTAAACATGGAACAGATATCTAAGGTAGAGGTAACATAATGTACTGAGAGTGCTATAACACAGTGTTTTAACATACATAAATACACAAACATTGATTGAGATATGGATTAATTTTTTTGGTGAATTTACAACAAATCTAAATGGTCTTGGAATTTACAGCGTGAGAGGGGAACAAGCTACTGAACAACTGCTAAATATGAAAACTTCAAATGCAGTCAGACTATGTTAGCCTGCGAAGTGGTAAGACTGATCCCATTACTGTACACTGATTTCAGAAGGGAATTTGTTATTTCTAATGTTCCAAAGGTTTCACTGCATTAAGACCTCACTCTCAATCTATTATTTTAAACTGGGCTAAAGAATAGTAATTGAGTGGTACATTAAACTTTCCAGTATTGGAGCAGTTCAAGTTGCCTGCTGTACAGATAGATACCTCTAAATAAGAATATATAGGCAACTTCAGGTTTCACTTATGCTAGATTTATTTTTCTAAAATATTTCATTACAGACTTGTTAAAATATTAGAATCCTACAAAAGATCACCAAGTACCACAGTTTGGGTAGCAGCCCATTAGAAACATCCCTTTCCCTATTATTGTCTTCTCGTAAAGCAAAACTAGCTCACAGAGAAGATCAATTCCAGTATTAATTATGAAAGACAAACATCAGCACTGCATTCTTCCTAGTCAAACCCAGGACTACACTTTAAAAACACAATGAAATATATTTAAACAGTGTGCATTTACGCAGAGTGTTTTACTCATTAAAGTTTTTTTCCAGTTTGTAAAATGTAATTATTAGAGTAATAAACTAGTTTTAGAATGTAAAACAGACTAAACAAAGCCTACTTCAAAAAACAGTGACAAGGGAAGACAGACAAAATTTCCTTTGAGATTCTTTTAACCAGGTGGTTAGCTTACTATGTAAATACTGTATATATCAAACACAATTTTATGCAACAAGAATCAATATCAACTAGAGTTGAATCAGACCCTGAGTGGAAGCCATTTTAATGAAAAGTATATGTTGAACTGATGCACCCAATGTTTCTGTGTCACTGGATTCATTTGGGGTCAAAAATCACACAATATTTTCAGACTTCTTTATCCCTGCTTAAGTCTTCCAGTCCTCAACCATGTAATATCAAGCACATGATCCTGCAGCCATTGGTTCCAGGGCACTCAAAACAGCAAACAAGAAATGAAGCTATTTCTAGACCTTCATTTCCTTTTCCAGTATAGCTTAAGTAGGGACCCTGAATTGACAAAAATGCAGGAAATAATACTCACATTATTCAGCCTTGCTCTGCATTACCCTCAAAGGCAAACAGGATTGTAAATTACTTTGCCTGCTGTTTTATTCCATATGACCTGAGCACATGGTTAAGTGCACTTTTTTACGCCTTAGTACCAGACAGTAGTTTCTACTGCCATTTTAACCCATTACCTGTCTGGAGGAAGATAAATAAGTGGTTAAAAATAAAAGTAAAGTACAGCTTGAAACTGCCAATTCTGGTTATCCACAATTGTCACAAAATGAGGAGATTTTCAAATTGCAAATGAGGTCTATTTCTCTACATCCAGAAGAAAATTTGCATAGGTAGCAATTTTAAAAATTTTGCTTTGAATCTGAAAGAAAAAGAGGGATGAAGTTGATGTGAAATGTCAGACTGGCAGCAAGAAGAAAAGGTACCAGGAAAGAATAGCAGTGGAAGACAAGTGCTGGTTTTTTTTGTTTTCAAATGGTAGACCTTCAAGGACTCCTCTATTATTTGACTATCTACACATAAAATTCTTTCAAGAAAGGATCTCCACTGATGCCTGCTACCTCTTATATGGTGTACAGGTTTTGTATGAATGGTGTTTTATGCAAGCTCAATATTTGTTTAAAGTTCAGTGTGTACAGTGTTCCTGGATGCAATGTCCCAAACGCCATATATTACTCTCAAATTCTAAAACATAAAATAGATATTAAAGCAAGTAAAATATGATCAAATTATGAGAGTTGTTCATTAAGGCATTAAGGTTTAAAAATATATTATTAAAGTGTATCCTAGGGAAAAGAATGTGTCTAGAATCTCAGGCCTGCAGAACTGAAATAGAGATGAACATATGAATGACATACCTTGTGATACCTTCCCAACATTGAAGGACAGGAGAACTTAAGAAAGCAAGCTGCTTCTGTTGTGAAGTTGTATCAGAAACACAGCAATAAGCACTATTTATGTAGGAATACTGCAGGGGAACTTAAGTTTGTTGTTGCTGGATGAATAGACAGAGCTGTGTCAAGAACTTTCAGTCACCTACTCTACAGTAAGAATCCCAATTTAAACCAGTAACATGCAATTCTTAATTGCTTCCATAAGGGACATGTTTTTCCCCAGATATTAAGCTCTTCAAAGTTACATGGTCGTGTCACCATCCATGCTTAGAGATATGGTTTAGTAGTGGAGAGGTTATGGTTAGCCTTGATGATCTTAAAGGTCTTTTCCAACCAAATGATACTATGGGTCCTTATTTTTCCTCTAAATTTGCAACTTCTTATCCTGTCTCTATACCATCAAGAAGTGTTCCTCCACATCTCTAGATTAGAAAACACTTCATACTTCTTTCATATTCTTACTCATATTCCAGAAGAAACTAGAAACAAGTCTGTAACCAAAACCAAGGATGTAATAATTCACCAGCTATCACAAGAAAAAAACACCAGCCTGACTTAGTAGTACTGTAAGAGAAAGTCTGGAGAAAAATCACACAAGAACTACAGGATTCCCATCATTCACAAAACAATTGCTACTGGGTACAACGTATCACCATAGAGTATTTTTCTAAAAAGAAAAAGGCAGAAAGTAATTTGGAGACTACAGCAACTTGTTTATATGAGGAAATACACAAATGCAGAAATACCATCCAGACATTCTTACTCAGAGCTAATTCTTGCTAGGTTGATTTACATTCATTCATTGCTAAAATGAATTCAGATAAACCAATACTTCAGATGTAAACAAAAATGTCTTGTGTTAATCCAGTTTAATCAATGCAGGCTAACCAATCCACTTTAAAACTTAATTCAGGTTAAATCTGCAAGTATTTTGCACTTAGACAAATTCTGGACCAGAGTAGACGATACAACTGTTTGTCACGTATTTGACAAGAAAATATCTTAAAATCTTTTGAAGAAGCCACTCAACAAGATCTTTGAAAAGGTCATCCTTTACAGGGTGTAAAGGAACTCTCATGAATAAAAAAGGACTAGATAATAGAAAAGACAAAAACCCAGCTGCAATGGAAGGCAATCACCAGACGTCCCACAGGGACCTATAGGGAAAACGTGCTGGTTAAGAGATTTGCAAGTAACCTAGAAGAGAGCTATCTATTGAGGAGACAGTTTGCTGACATAAAATTATTCAAGGTAATCTAAACTAAAACAGAGCCTGAACAGTTGAAGATGACTTATTAGCGATACTTTAAAATTGTGCAGAAATTATGCAGCTGGCCTTGAAACATTAATAACAGGACTTAACACATACTGAGGGACCTCAAACTATTTATAGGGGTCATATTTTCTTGGAGCCGTGAATATTTTCAGAGAAGTAAAAAGGCAGACAGACTCAGGAAAGTGAGATAAAAAGTACAAAACAAGTAATATTATTATGTCACTGCAAAAAATTTCTCCTTCATACTTTGACTGCTGTGTGCACTTCTGGTCACCTCACTTCAAAAACCACACAAGTATCAGGAAAGACAAAAAGAAGGTGGAAAGGCTGACCAGAGGTACAGAATATGAGGAGAGATTAGAATTTTCAGATTAGTAAACATGGTGATGTGGATAGCAAACTGAAGCTTCCAGTCAGTGGCTGAAAAGGTACATTGTAGCTGCATCACAATGGACTTGCTCTTATTTTTGAATTCCTCTCCCTAAAGCACAAGGTTTTGCTGCTGCTGAAGATCAGACTACTTTATTAAGAGGATTTCTGGACTCAACCACTATCATCCTTCTTTAAGTGGCTCCTTTCCATGCATATTTTTACGCTCCAGTGACTCTAAAAAATACACACACAAAACTAATTACCTCAGGGTGAACACCTAGCACGAAAGAAGACTGCTTAGATCTTTCACCCACCACTTACTAAATTATAAAGCATGATGATGTTATTAACACATTAACAGACAAATAGAAACACTTCTATGATTGTAAAAAAAAAAGGGAGGTTTAAAGAGATCCAATTATTCTCTTGTTTAATATCGGTAGAACACAATCAGACGTACATTTCTCAATTACAACTTTAGATGTGAGTGGAGGAAAGGAGCTGGAATACAGCTAGCAGCTAGATCAAGCTGTACTATGCACAGGTGTAGGTACTCAACAAATATCAGACAAAATAGATCTCATAAATTTTTGCTTGAGCACAACTAAAGATAAAAGTTTGAGTTACAATTACACCATATAAAAGCATAGGAAGAAAAATAAGCACTCTTTTCAGATTTGCAAGAAACAATCAATTAAAGAGCAAACTGAAATGGACCTAGTTCTAAGTTTTACTGTAAATGAGAGTCAGTGGTCTGCAAGAGCTTAGTAGTTTTCAATTGAACTTCCTAGTATTTCTTAAGAGTTAGCCAGACATATTTAGCTTATTATCTATTCCACCACTTTCTAAATGGCTTCTATAGATGAAGACAAGAGCAAAGACAAGAATGAAGACAAGAACAGGTAAATTTCAGATTGGACGACTTGAGAGAAACACTGCTATGAGAGATTTTTAGGCATCTCATCACTGACAATCACAATCTCAAGCTAACATAAGTGAAATTTGTAATAACCTGAATGAAATAAATTAAGCCACCAACCTCAAAACATACTGCATTCGGTTTACACCAATTTTGTTTATTTTAATGGCCAAGTGTTCACCATTTACCTAAACTAAACCATGACAGAACAATCAAAAAGTTCATTTTTTACCGTAAGTGCTTTTCTATTCAATTGTATTTAATACTATTATGTCTTGGTTGTGTTTTACATAGTATTAAATTAATTTCAACTCTTTGGAAGTACCAAAGAATTTCTTTTCCCATACTCTCCCACCCTCCAGTTTCTTTCAAGTTCATTCAAAACTGTATCATTTGCCTACTTCTCCTATGTCCAAATTCAGGATGTCCTTTAAAGACAGTGGTATGCACAGAGGAGTAGTGCAGGTCCCTTAACTTTCAATCCCAATTTAAAAATTAGCCCAGAAATACTTTCCCCAACAGAAAAGGCCAGGGAAAAAAAATCTGTGTAAAATATGTATGTACAAGAGAGTGTGTGTGTGTGCGCGCGTGTGTGCGCGTGTATTGTATATCAATGTAATAAGGGTCAGGAATTCTTGCACTATGTCTCTATGTCTTAAAGCAGACAAAAAAAAGGCAACTGCACTACATCTACTCACAACCACTCTTGCCATAGTAAGTAATAGTCAATGTTTAACATACATGTGCAGATCTCAGGAATTCCAGTAATACTTTATTAAATGTCAACATTTCAAACTCAGATACTCAGTAATTACATAATCCAAACATCACCTTTTAAACATGTGAAAATATGCTTATCCTTTTCAGAAGTGTTTGAAGGGGTTGGGAGGTTGGACTGGATAACATTTAAAGGTCCTTTCCAACCAAAACCATTCTGTGAATCTTAGAAGCAATATATCCATTTTCAAACATAATAGGTTCAAACTATTTTAGGTTAATGATATGGCATTTAAATTATATATAGGAACTTCTTCTGAATTTATTCTTTAATTCAATGTGCTAAACATACTAAGGAAGATAAATTTCTGGCAGTTATTAAAAAAATACAGGGAAAAAAGTAAAACAACATGTACAACAATTATCTTGGAGAGCTTACAGCAACACTATCACTGCTTCCTTCTCAAATAAGAAGCATCATTCAGATTCAGATTTCGATTTTTAGCTTATTCCTATGACTGCTTTGTTTCACAGGCTGTTCCTCTACTACTCACTATTTTCTGATATTCTGTACAACCTCATTACTGGAGAGCATAAGTACATCAAAGTAATTCAGGTAATGCATTGCGTTTTTCCTTTTACCTCTTTGTTCAACTTAAAGAAGTATTTTCTTTTAAAAATAATTCCTTGTATTTAAAACTTTAAATATTTGCTTATAAGTATTGATGGTATGAAAAAGCTATGAAACCCTTCTAAGTGTTAAACAGTAATTTAAAATTGACTATTTTCTCTTGTACAATATGCGAAATAAGACGACAAACTCATTTGGCGATATGCCAGATGTATATAATAACATACACATGAGATTGCAATTATCAATCAAAATATTGCCCAAGTTTTCTGAAAACACTATTATTATAAAATTTATAATGATTATTATAAAATAGGTAATAGTTATTTGATATGTAATTAGCGGCAGTATTTTATAGCCTCTTTTGATTCTAGTTATGAGCAATCCAGTAGGATTATATTTTCTTTACATCAGTTATGAAGTTTGATCATCAGCTCTTAGCAGACAAAGATTTATTTGTTTAATCTGTTTGGTAAGCATGAACTGAGAAGACCCCATTTCCTCTTTCTTTTAATATTCCAAACTCTGCCAAATTCAACTATGGAAAATGTGCAATTATACCAAACTGAACAGTCCTATTCATAGCATCTACAGAAAAATAATAATTGGCAGATAAAATTCTGTCACTTTTTGGGTATAATGCAATAGGCAGCTAATTGTCTTCAGTCCTACACTATAATTTAAGGTAAACCACTAAATATTTTACCAATAACTGGGACTGTGAGGAGAATTTGGGATGTAAACATTGACATACCTAAATGTAAATTTAATCTAAGGATAGACAATAGGCAATAATGCAAATTTTACTGTTAAATGCCACAGAATCCTAAGTACCCAGAAGATAAAGAGAGAAACAAGAAACATTGTAACGTACTCACAGCAGTGTGTCTAGCACCATGGAAAGATCAGGTGACTTGCAGAAAGGGAAAAAGATTTAGAATTTTTTTTTTTTAAATCCACCCCAGATCAGTAAGAGAAAAGGCTGAAAATCCTTAAGTGCTACTTTGCCCTTGTTTTCATTTCAACTTACTCCCTCCACATTCTAAACCTGCTATTCATCTTGGCCTAATGGTACTAGCAATATCCAACATTTTCAGGTATCTCTTTCAAAATAGCTTCCCAGATCTAAGCCACAAACTGATGCCAACTGATAGCTTCTATTTCCTCTTCCTTAAGATCATGAAAAATGGTATGTTGTGTCAAAAATAAAAATTTATATTGTATTTCTCTAATCTATCTTTTTCCATTTATGGAAAATTTATGGAGATGCTGTGATTTTTATCAGTCAACAAGGAAAGTAAGACGCTGTGCACAAATACTTACTGTAATGTTATCCAAGAGTTTGGCCATATGCTTAATAATTTCACCATGGTGAGCTGGCTGGTTTTGCAGTAGTTTCTTAATGACAACAACACTTTCAGCCACTACAATTTCTGTTTAAGACAAAACAAATTATTAATTTTAAAAGCATTTATGCAAAAGAAAATGCCATAAAGAATTGATTGTAAAAGAAGTTATCAGCTTTCAAAATATGCTTTGCAGAACTGAATTCTATTTACTTGGCAACAAAGATGTAAACCACTCTAGAAAGTAATACAAGTTCAGCTTCGAAAGGCAAGTAATAAATAGCAAAAAGAGAACAGAAAAATCTTCTGAATGTAAAAATATCCTATTACATACTTCTTTAGAAATAACATTTTAATAAATCTGTACTTTGTATTTTTCCTTTTCAAACTGAGGAACAGCATGAAAAAACATGGTTTTCATTAAATTACGCATATTCACAAGTAATTTGCTGTCTGCATTAGAAATACAAACACTTGTTTAATTTTCAAAATAAACAAACAACATTAAAAGTAACAGCTCATTCATAAAAAAGAAGTATCTAAACATTTCCTTTGCACTTTTCTACCTTCTAAATGGTTTCTCTCAATTCTGTAACCTAATCTCACATTCAAATGAAGCCTTCTAAATAGCATGCTGTTGTAAGATTTATGCCGAAGTCATGTTACAGTAGTTAAGCACTCCAGTCCAAGTAACATTCACAGCCTGATCAACTTGTATGACATGTACAATTCTTGAAGCTGAAAAAAACCCACTGGTGCAGAGGTAAGCTTCTATGCAAGAGCAAACTCATATTGTAAGGAAAGATGAAGGAAAGTCAAACATGGCCAAAGCTGAAACCAAACTGTAAGAGTTCAACATAATACTAATTTTCATTTATACTACTAAAAGAGAGTAACTATTTCTCTTAAACTTTCAATGTTCAAAACAAAGGAAAAAACCAACTATCATTCATTAAACATCACAGAGATACTTCTATGTTTCAAGAGTTCATCTGACACAAAGATCATTCATTCATCATTCAAGCAAGCTGAAGTTTCAAAAAAACTGTATGGGGAAGAGTTTGCTAAATTTTTAAATTTATTTTATTTTATTAGAAAAGCTTCAAACTTCTTTATGAAGAAAGTATTTTTAAAAGCTCTGAGTATGCTTCATTATGCCATAAGCCTCTGAAATGCTTAAATTTTATCTTGCAGCTTCTTGTGTTTATCCAACATGACATCTCAAGTATTTTACCTAGACTAATTTCCTGAAGCAAGGCTGTGTACTTCACATACCTCAAGGTCTTGCCAATCCTACAGATCAGTTAAATTTAGATTGTGTTTTGTCAGATACTAAAATATTAAGACAATTCTCAAAATTTTAAAATTCAATCTGGAATAATTAGAGTAAAAGACATTGTAATAACAATCTTCATTGAGTGTTTTGCGATACTACTTAATAAGGATAATGGTTAACCCAAATAAAACTGAATCCAAAACCTGAGTGGACATGAAGTCATTATTAAAAACATTTGTTCACAATGTAGAACTGATCATGATAAAATGAAATGCAGTAGATGGAATGTCACCATAGGAACTACTTTAATGCAATTTGTGGGAGCAAATTTAAAGGATGTAATCAGAATTGTATGCAAGTAAACTAGTATGGTTCCTTTTACATGAATCTAGATAAGAAAAAAGAAAGTACAAACAAAAGCAGACCCAAAAGGGCTATATAAAATTGGCATTGTGAATGAGCAGTAAATTTAAAAATGTAACTCTGCTAGAATTATCAATAGTACATACAAGACAACGATAAAAGAATTCAAGAATTTCAAACAGAGTGTAAATTAGATCATATCTAAAGGATCATAAAAAGTAAATCAAATCCTTAATATAAAGAGTAGAAGTCATAAAAAATCTGATTAGGAATGACTTTACCAATATTGCAGTGTCCTGGTTTGAACTAAGTAGAACTAATTTTCTATTTAGTGATTTTACTTTTCAGCTCAGTCTCTTCTAAGTGGCTGTACTTGCTGAAACTAACGGCATGTTTTTCCAGACAGTGTGTACTGCTACAAGTGATAGTGCTTGTATGCTCTGTAAACATCACAAGGCCACTGTCTCACCATTGGTGCCATATCTGTATCCACAGGGAGGAGCAGACCCAAAACTGACCAACAAGGTATTCCATCCCACATACGTCATACTCAGTATAAAGCCGAGGGACCACGAGGGTCTTGGCCATTCTCTGTCCTCTGCTCTTTTGCTCTTTCAATGGCCAAAGTTTGAGCGGAACCCTGACAGTTCATCTGCTTCCGATACTGATCTGTGTGTTCCTGAATTCACTTCCTGCATCCTGCTCCCACCTGCTGCTGGGACTTTTCCAGTGCTCTGCTCTGCAGAGCCTCTGGTGATGTAATTGTCACTGGGTGGGGGGTGGGTAGAGGATTTTATATTGGTTTTACATATATATGTATATATTTCATTATGTTTCTATTTCTATCATTATCCTGTAGTATTGGTATTATTGTTTAATTAAATCTGTAGTTTTATTTTCCAACCCATAAAGTCTCTCTTATTCTCTTTTCTCTTCCCTTCTGGGGAGGGGAGAGGGGTTAATAGCGTCTGTCCAGGATTTAGTGGCCAGCCCAGCCCCAAACCACAACATGAAACTACAAGAGGTATCAGGAACTTTTTTTAGTTTTCACAAGTCATAGTAAAAATCTTAGTTTGCTGTTCACTGCTAGTTTTCTTCAAACAATTTTGAAGCCATATGGAAATGACTACTCTTGAGTGGTCACTCAGGATAATCTATGAAGATCCTGAAGACAACTTCTCAAAATCTTAAAATAGATTCAGTCATACAATGTTCCATTTTGCCTAATAATGATGTATATAAAAAATGAAAAATATAGTGAACAGTAACTCGAATTACAGACTTTCATAATTGAGAATTTGGCCTTCTTTTAACAGAAACTCAGAAAAAGACCTTAGCAAAGACTGAATTACCAGTAAACATTCAAATGCTGCATTCTGAAATACTACATTTGACATCATTGATGTTGAGTCAAATTTCTTCCACTTGCATTAACTGATACTTGCAGAAACTAAAACATGCAACTGAAGACTAATTTATCTATACTTTGTCTATCATTTGTACAATCACTATTTCTAAGAGTAGCAAAACTGTATGAACTGTTTTTGGAAGGAATAAACCAATTGAATCTCGTAGTAAGGTTGTACAAGTAATTAAACGCACCCTCAGCAAATTTGTAGATGACACCAAGCTGAGTGGCGTGACTGATACACTTAAGGGACAAAATGGCATTCAGAAAGACTTGGAGAAGCTCAAGAAGTGGGCCCAGGTGAACCTTATGAGGTTCAATGAGGCCAAGTGCAAGGTCCTGCACCTGGGTCAGATCAATGCCCAGTATCAATACCAGCTGGGGGATGAAGGGATTGAGAGCAGCTCTGAAGAGGAGGACTTTGAGGTGTTCACTGGTGAGAAGCTTAACATGAGATGCCAATGTGTGCCCACATCCCAGAAAAATCAACTCTGTCCCGGGCTGCATCAAAAGAAGCATGACCAATAGTTGAGGAAGGTGATTCCACCCCTCTGCTCTGCCCTGGTGAGACACCACCTGGAGTATGGTATCCAGCTCCAGTGTCCTCAGCATGAGAAAGACATGGACCTGTTGGAGTGGGTCCAGATGAGGGCCACAAAAATAATCAGAGGACTGGAACACCTCTACTATGGGGAAAGGCTGAGAGAGTTGAAATTGTTCAGCCTGGAGAAGAGAAGGCTGGGAAGACCTTACTGTGGCCTTTCCATATTTAAAGGGGGCTTATAAGAAAAATGGGGACAGACTTTTTAGTAGGGCCTGTAATGATGGGACGAAGGGTAAAGGTTTTAAACTAAAAGAGGGTAGATTCAGACTAGGTGTTTTTGGTTTTTTGTATGTGTGCTTTTTTGTTTGTTTGTTTTGTTTGTTTGTTTTGGTTTTTTTTACACCTTCAGAGTGGTGGAAGACTGGAACAGATTGCGCCGTGAGGTGATAGATGCCCCATCCCTGGAAACTGAATGTTGGCCAGATTGGACTGGGCTCTGAGCAACCTGATCTAGTGAAAGGTATCCTTGCCCATGGCAGGGGGCTTGGACTAGATGACCTTTAAAGGTCTGTTCCAACCCAAACCATTCTATGGTTCTATGATTATTTGGGGTATTAGGTTATGCAAATGCTTAAAACTTAAGTTAAAAGGCAATTATGAGAGCTAAGTATCCAGACAAATATTAAGTTTCTGCTTTTCATAACTGCCTGAAGTCTAAGCTTTAACTGCTTAATTTTTCCACCTTTGTAATATAAATAACAGAATTCTGAAACCACATTATACACATAAATGGGATGCTACAAGGAGTTGGTTTTCTTTTTTCTTACTATCATTCTAGAAGTAATTCCAAAAGATAGGTAGTTACCTAACATATTAGTTGTTCCAGTGACTTTAGACTGTTCAAATTTCAATAGATTGGTAGAAAAAATTTCTTTGAGCTATACATCCTACTATTGTGTTTACATTCTCTATTATTCATAACCTGCAACTTTCAACAGAAAATTAAAGTCAGCCATCTAAGAAAAACTTGCAGGATCTCTAGTCTTTGCAGTATAGACAGACAAAAGAGACTACCTCTAATGCCATCTGTCTCTAACATCTAAAATGGCTTTTATGTCATAGTGGGGCCAGTGGTCAGTTCAAATTATCAAGGCAATTTCTTAAAGGAAATACATCAGTCAAATGCCAAAAGTCACATCAAAGAGCCAAAACAACTTTCTTCTTGTACTTCCTTCAGCAGACAAGGAAGGAAAATAATTTTAAGCCCTCAATATGGCTTCCAGAAACAAGGCTCTGGGGAAGTTGAGAACAGCTCTTGAAATTTTCTTTGTGTATTTATGAGTGTTTGTTAAAAGTCAAATATCCCCTACTCAGGAAAGCTGGAGGCTATGGTAAAAAAACCCCATTTGAATCACAGAAGCACATACAGAAACTAGAAAGTTCAAATGATGACACACTCAAAGAGCTCTGCAAAGAATTATCCCAGTTGGACCTGGTTGACTCCTGAAGAGATTGTTTTGCGCAATGACACTGCCTCTCAGCACCCAAGTTCCAAAATTATTAACTACACAGCTCCTGTGGCAGATACAGCCAAGGTATCTTGGCTATTGGGTTGTATCTACAGTAAGGGCTTTTCCAGAAAAAGAGCACAAAATTAGAATGCGGTTTTGCCAAATGCTCATTCTTCAGGATTTTACTTTTTATTTGGTAGAATTAATTTCGTCACTTCTCTTCCACACTACAGTAAACTCCCCATAATAAGAAAACATAGCAGAGAAAGCAGAGACAACTGCTTTCAGGGACCTTAGAACCTGCTAGACTTATCAGCTTGGCTTCACTCTATGCAAATGCAGCAGAACGGCTTGCACGCTTTGAACAACCATGGAAAAAGGAACATGGCAAACAGACTGCTTGCAGACTGTAGGGGTGACAGTTGGAGGAAAGCAAGATTAGCCAAGACTCTTATTTTCCTATACACGTTAAATCTCTCTTTTCTCCCTTAGCATGCTAAAAACTCTTTTTTATGTTCAGTAAGTTGTGACTATTTTCAGAATAGAAGCTATGATAAAAGAAAAAAAGACTTTTCCTCTTACCTTGGTTCCTTCCTAGTAAAAAGAAAAACCAAGCAAGAAAATGTAAAGAAGGATTATTAAGTAACAAACTCAGTATTCTGAAGTGATAGTTTTATTATTTTATCCAAGACAAAAAAAAAGGCAATGTATACATGCTAAAAGGAGCGTACTGACCTAGAGGAATATTGCTATTAATTCTTAAGCAGAATCAAGGAAGCTTGAATTTTTAACATCTTAATCGTTGAATGTAATATAAAACGGTATATTATGCAGACATGGCCTTGTAACACAACATGGCAAGATATTTTAAGCACAGCTGATAACCAGAAAAGCATAAAGGGACATAAGGTCTGGAGCACTAGGAAATTTCAGTTACATATGTTAAAACTACCAAGCTATACACTGAGGCCTCTCAGGAATTTCTGATATAAGGTGAAGTGGGAGAAAAGAAGGATTATTATTTCATAAATCAAGTACAAGAAAGCTCTGAGTATATCCGTGTATCATGATGACTATGAGCCAGAAAAGTGATGTCCCTAATAAAGGCCTTAGTAGGGCTACCATGAAAAATATGTCCACTAGATAACAGAGAGGAATTAATCCTGCTTTTCAAAGCTTAGAGTAGATCTCACCTGTGTTCTCTGAACAATGCTGCTCCAGACCATGCCAAAATCATGCTTTTCCTTCTTCCTGAGAAGAATTATTTTTAACTACATCTTTCTTAACTCTATTTCCAATATTTAACCATATTCATGTAGGCTATAAAATAATCTTCCAATTCTCTTATTGATTTCCTTCTATACAATATTCATAGGTAACTAGTCAGAATATAGAATATTATGAGGTATTGATATACAGTGCTGCTATATCCTATTTTATTTTATTTGCTCCTTGTTGTGTTCTTTAGTGACTAGCAACTCTGTTTCACTATATAAAAATAACAGGAGACTAGATTACAAAATCAAGCCAAATTTGGGGCCGTTTATCCTAAAACTCTTTAAAGTGCTTTTTCAGTTAGACATTGATGCATTGAGAAAAAAAACAAACATTCCAAGCTTTCAGCACCCTCTACAGGCTAACTGTTTTGATGCAACTAAACATACAACAGCAAAACTACTGCCATGATAATCACAACAGCACACTTACATAACTACAGCATTTTGAGAAAAAACAAGTAAGTGCAATTGCAGGCCACAAGCAAATTATTTCACTAACAAAAGACAAAATAGGTACTCAGTGATTATAAGAGCCTTTTGAAGTGCTTCAAACAAAAAGCAGCAGCAGAATCACTATTTTTATGCAGTCATGTCAGCTAAATTATTATAAAAGTCAACTCCCATATACTTTTTAACATGTTCTCTTCTGTGTGGTTTTCATTAAGAAAAAGATTCATGTAATCAGCCACTTAGAAAACAAACAGAACATTTAGCTTACCATCCCTGTTGGACAGCAAACATACAAGTCCGTTAAGGCATGTGTCAGTCACTTCAGAGATGTTAGTTGCACATCTGCCTATAGCCTGAATTGTAGCTGCAGCAAACTGCTTATCTTGGCTTTTCACGTAAGTCTAAGGAAACAGAATTTTCATTAGTCAATACACAAGTCTTGTCAATCAAAGACTTACCATATTATCTTCGTAAAACTGACACACCATATAATAAATTAAATCTAGAAAGCTACATTGCATATTAGAAGTTATACTTTTTTCACCTCATTGTCATTTTTAGATTACATTTTCTTGCCAGCTTTGGTCCCCTGTGGCCATGTGAATCTCTGATTTCAAGAAAGCTTGGGGCAGGGGGCAATTACCCAAAAAACAGCAATTAGTTTACGTGCAAGATTGGAGGAGTTGGTGAGATTTCTCTTCAGACAGGTTTCAGTTCATTTAACCAGGACCATCTGTGAAACTATGAATAACCTACCTGCCTGAGAACCAGTACCTTTCAGAGAAATCCAGCCAGAGAACTGAAGCAATGAAAATAGATGTCATAAGCAAAGAGGAAAGAAAGGACAGACACTGTTTCACAATGTAGGCAGAACACCTTCCTGATACATACACAGATATTGGAGGTAACACTACTTCATCAAATGACTTAGAGAAATGAGGCTTGGCAATAAAATGCTACTGGCCAAATATTGCTGAAATCAGGATCTTATCATCTAGTGACTTACAGTGTCAGTCAAGTTAGTAAAATTAATTTTAAAGAATTTGGAGTAACTGAGTTTTTCTCCTAACTTTTTTTTTCCTGGTAGCAGGAAGAAGAGGGAGTAACAAAACATTGAAACATATTTCCACGTATAAAGAACACTATTACCCATTATGATGTGAGACAGTTTCATTTCCATTGCAAGAATATTTTATCCTGGAAAAGACTTTAACTTGAAAAATTTAAGACTGAAAATCTAGGTGAAATATCCAATAATGGCAATTGGCAATCAGAGAGCATTTCAAGCAAGAAAGAATGCACTTTTGCACAAACCTGAAATTCTCGAAGCAGAGTTGATATGTTGGCTTCATTTGCCAAATTTGTCAAGATTTCAAGCTACAAGAAAAAAAAACCCGAGATATTTTATCAAAAGCTACAATACATATTACAAGCAGTACTACCCAAACTATAATTTATTGTATATAAATAAAAGATAATACTAAAAATACTACTTGGAAGTCAATAGAGTATACCAGATTTCAGTATAAACTGGTAGCAGTATTGCACTCAGGAAGAATATTCCCTGTGCAACTACATGCAAGCTTTTCAGAACAGGACTCTAGTGTTCAGTGATGCATCTCCTACAAACTCCAGCTTTAGTGTTGCAATGCATATCAAATGGGCTTGAGATACTTCCGGTAGCATGGTTTTCAATGTGATATAACAGGACCTAGTGTGTAAGAACCATGTGACACCATAAGAAGAAATAACAGAAAGCACAATTGCAGCTGGGGAGAAATAAAGTGTCCATTATATTCAAGTGAACGGCAGTAAGGACCTTTAAATTCACGAAAGAAACAGTTGCATCTATGAGACTCCTCAGATCTTAATCAAGAATCAGCATCAGACCCTGAAAGGCCTCTTTGTTCCTGGTGAACAAAAGGATGATATACAACACTGCATACATTGTTAAAACGCTGTGCTTCTAGGCTTTTTTAACTTTGAAGAAGAAATAATTCCAATACAATCGGAATAAGGTTGTCCTAGGTTTTTCAGCTACCAAGAAAGAACTGAGACAATGAAAGGAAAAAACACAATTTCTACTTCTCCACCTCTTCACCATTGTATTATGAATTAATATGGGAATTTAAATACATTGACTTTCAATTACTTCAGGAGTTCATTAGTCAGTAATGTTCTGGATAACACTAAGTCTTACTAGTACTCCTAACAGTTTTCATAATCATTAAATGTGTGGAAGATCATTCTTGCCTCCAACTGCCTCAAATTTAGATTTAATAATTAGACTTAGATTTAATGATGACTAATAAAAATATGATGGGTTGGGCATATAATAGACAATTTTTAGCTAATGTTTTGTCAAGGATTTCACATCTTTGAAAGACTAAGAATAGAGAAAACAAGAAGACAGCCTAAAACATGCATTGACATATGGTCTTGAGGAAAGCCTGAAGTACTTCTCATGTCGAATGCTGACTTCAAAGGCAATTTGGGACTGACCTACTTTTTTCAGGGAAACATACTTAAAGTTATTTTTAAGCTAAAAATATCAAAGACTGTGTGATTTCACTTCTCTTCATTTGAGAAGATTCCTCCTCCCATGGAAACAAACTCTAAATGTCTGAATAGCTGGTCAGATAAAAATAGGAATGCTCTGTATCACTGTAAGGTACCAAAAGCTGCAGTGGAAAACACAGACCATCTGCCATCTACAACATGGTAACATGAGAACTTTCAGATAGCTTGACAAGCCTGAGGGACACTTGTGGACATAAACTAAAAGCCACAACTCTACACTTCTTAGTGGAAAAAAAGGAACAGCACAGAATGATGTTTGTCTTATCAATGCAAGAAAAAAATTTACCTTCCTGTTGCAAACTTATTTGTCCAGCAGTATAGACGAATTAGCTTTTAAACTCACCTTCAGTGTTTTGATCATTGTTGGATCAGTTGATCTAACATAGAAACTCTTCAGATAAGGTTCAAACATGCCCTGAAAAGCAGGATATATTTAAGTATCTTGCCTGTGCTCCATCTAAAATGTGATTTAGAAAATTCTAAATAGGGTATACCTTTCTCTGAATTGACATAGTGGCAATGTTTTGCAGAACAATATACTGCACCTCCCTAGAATTTGAAAAGAAAAACAATAGTTATTCTGCAAAATTACAGATCCATAGAATAATGCAACGTGGCAAAGAAAGTCCAATTCTATTTGAATCCAAAGTTACTTATGCCTTTGACTTGACACAAGCGTAGAAGGAAAATGCTTATTGCCAACTGCTACAAGTTCATCATCTGCTTCACAGGAAGATGCATGACAAAATCAGTCTCTCATTTTTTAAAAACATTGCAATGCCTCTTGTAGGCCTTGGGTCTTTGTCAAAAAAAAAAAAAGTGTTCAAAACATCACTGTTTCAGGGGATCAGGCCTAGCCAGCATGGGTTCATGAAAGGCAGGTCCTGCTTGACCAACCTGATCTCCTTCTATGACAAGGTAAGTCACCTAGTTGATGAGGGAAGGCTGTGGAAATGGATTTTAGTAAAGCCTTAGACAGTCAACAGCACCCTCCTAGAGAAACTGGCAGCTCATGGCTTAGACAGATTTACTCTTCGCTGGGTCAAACACTGGCTGGATGGCCAAGCAGAGAGAGTTGAGGTGAATGGAGTTAAATCAAGATGGCAGCCAGTCAAAAGTGGTGTTCCCCAGGGCTCAGTGTTGGGGTCCAGTTCTGCTTAATATCTTTAACTATGACCTGTATGAGGGGATTAAACACTCTTTTTGGTACATTTGCAGACGACACCAAATTGGGTGGGAGTGTTGATCTGCTCGAGGGTAGGAAGGCTCTGCAGAGGGACCTGGATAGGCTGCATCAATGGGCTGCAGCCAGTTGTATGAGGTTCAACAAGGTGGAGTGCCAGGTCCTGCACTTCGGTCACAACAACCCCATGCAGCGCTACAGGCTTGGGGATGAGTGGCTGGAGAGCTGCCAGGCAGAAAAGGACCTGGGGGGTTGTTGGTCAACAGCTGACCTAACATGAGCCAGCAGTGTGCCCACACGGCCAATAAGGCCAACAGTACCCTAGCTTGTACCAGGAATAGTGTGGCCAGCAAGAGTAGGGAAGTGATTGTGCCCCTGTACTTGGCACTGGTGAGGCCACACCTCCAATACTGTGTGCAGTTTAGGGCCTATCACTACAAGAAGGACATTGAGGTGCTGTAGCGTGTACAGAGAAGGGCAACAAAGCTGGTGAAGAACAAGTCTTATGAGGAGCTGCTGAGGGAGCTGGGGTTGTTTAGTCTGGAAAAGGGGAGGCTAAGGGGAGACCTTATCACTCTCTACAACTACCTGAAAGGAGGTTGTAGTGAGGTGGGGGTTGGTCTCATCTTCCAAGTAGCAGGCGAATAGAACAAGAGGAAATGGCCTCAAGTTGTGCCAGGGGACGTTTAGGTTGGATATTAGGAAACACTGCTTCACTGAGAGTGGATGAGCACTGGAACAGGCTGCCCACAGAAGTGGTGGAGTCATGATCACTGAAGGTGTTGAAAAAATGTGTAGATGTGGCACTTCGAGACATGGTTTAGTAGACATGGTGGTGTTGCTGGCTTGACAGTTAGACTTGATGATCTTAGAGGTCTTTTCCAGCTTTACTGATTCTGTGATTCTATGATTCTGGCACCTCCAGAAATAGCTCACAGAAACTATATATTTTGCCCACCATCTAGAAACTTAAATATTTCAGCATGACACAGCTGAGAACAAAAACACATAGGCTTTATCTGTAGTGTGGAAATTACTGCATTAGTTACAAGAACAGCTAATCCTTGCACAAGTAGAGAGAATTGCTGCAAGTTTTTTGGTCTTAAAAATGTCATAATAATTCTCAAAAAGGACCAAGGCCTCCTGTAACAGAGTATACACTGGCAGGCATATGAATCTATAAAAAGCAGCACTTTAACATAATATACTTTGTCAAGACAGACAACAGAATTATATAATATTCTAAATACAAAAACACTAAATATGTTTGGAGGATATTCTCATCATTAATGTGTTAGTTAAAAAGTCTCAGCAGGAGTAATGAAAAAGAAATTTGGGTGCTAGTCTAAAGCTTTTAAACTTCAGAGTTTCTGTCACCAATTGCTTAAAACTAAATAATAATTTACACATAATTTTTCTGAACCATAAGTGCTCAAATTCTTTCATGATGCAAATCATACCCTAATAGAGAAATCATCATATCCATTATCTCCTCTTATTCAAAGCTGTCTAATAGCCCTGTGGTAATTACAGCTATTGCTTACAAAGAAAAGTAACAACAGAGAAGTACTTAATATCTTTTAAGCCTATTTTTATGTAATTCTTACATAGGTACATGGAAATAGTTGCACATGATGAACAAAGGCTGGAAATTGCTATGAAATGCTCTTCCAGACACTTTCACTCGTATTAGATTATAGGGTATTTGACATTAATTTAAAGGCCATAGGGACATAACCTCAAGGGCAAACAGCAAAAGCTTATTTCAAAGTGGTTCTAATATCAAAGGTGTTTCACACAGACTTGTAACAGAGAACAAACAAGCCATTCAACATAGGAAAATCAGAAGAATAGTGCTATTTTAGGCACTAGTTGAGGTACAGGAAAGACATGACTCCTCTTATGAAATCTGAGTAAAAATGAACAATAAACAACAGGCAAAAATAATCCTTTCAACCTGTGAGTATGAGTTCAATTCTATATATTACCTGTAGACATGCTAAAAGGCTTTAGCCATTTTACTTATCTTTGTATAAAGAGAATGGGAAGCATACTGTACTATTAAACCAAACACAAAAATAACAGTGATTTATTTTTATCTGAAATAATAGCATGAATAATCTACCAAGCCCACTTTTATTTCACTAGTCTAACTTTTAAATGACAGAGGCATTAGCCATGGGTGAGCTGCAGAAGTTTACAGAGAAAGAGCTCTATGGTGACCAGGCTTATAAAAGTTAAAGCATATCTAAGCAGAGTAATCTTGTCAGACACAACAAAAGCGGCCAACTTCAAAAAATAAATAATTTTCACAATGAAGTTCTAGCCAAAAATATTATATTTAGTTAGAAAGTTATTCTGAAAACACCTTATGTCTCCTATCACCTCTTCAGGGCCTTTCATACAGACACAAGGGAGTTCAAAATTGAAAAACTGAAAGGAAAAAACCCTCACTTTTATGCAGCAAATATTAGCATAATATGCCAAAACTATCAAACAGAAAGAAAAAAAGAGTTTATTATCAATCTTATGAAACACGTGGCCAGTGAGACACTTCAGAGAGGTCACACTGAAGATGATAAAGTCAAAATCAGTTGTTCTGAATGAATTATAAACTTATCTTTAAAACAGACCAAGGATTAAGGAAACATAGGGAATTCACCAGCATGAAGTAGCATTTTTATGAATAATGTTTCTTAGTTTCTTTGTGAACAGTAAGTCTTCATTATAAAGTACAGGAAAAAAAAATACACATCTGAAGAACTCTTTAATGCCTAGCGAGACAGTAAGAAACTCCAATATAATTAAATTTCCAATAACTTCCAGTAATTAAAAAAAATCAATAAACAAAGGGGAAGTGCTAATGTGTTTGCTATTTGTAGGATAACTGGGCAGCCATGAGTCTTCTCAGAATGGAAGTCATAATAAAGAACGAAACAAATGATCACTGGATGCAATACTGAAAATTATGGAATTACTTTAAATGATCCTCATTTGCTGAGTAAAAATTAATACTGCAGGACTATTTAAAAATGAAACTCTCATAGTGCAACAGTTACGTTCTTATAACTAAACAAGTTTATATGAAAACCTCTCACGAAAAAATGGACCTCACAATGTAAAGTACGGACTTGACCTACCTATTACTACGGAGTAAACGCACCAATGACTTAGAAACAATACCAGCTTCAGATTTTGGTGCCAAATGCCAGTACAGTTGTGCAACTGCCATTACCACCTAAACAAAGAACATTTGGAACAACACATTAATTTCAAAATCATTACACAAATCTATCACATTTGCTTCAGACTTGCAGAACTACCAACTCAAAACAAAGTGCATACCCACATTTTTCAAAATCAACAAAGTAGACTGGGGGAACAATAATCAGATGAAAGATATTTTTATTTCTAAAAATCAAAGCTAAGTACATCTCATTTGTCCCAGTATTTATTGTATACTATAAAATATAGAAAGACATACTAAGAGGGACAAAGAGAGAAAAATGTAGGTAATTCAAACTGTAAACATATTGATACCACCCTTAAAAGTCAGTATTGCTAACATCAGCTGTATAAATTACCAAGAAAATACTGTTTAAAACTTCTGCAAAATTTTTGCTTTTATTTTTATTAAATACAGGTACAGTATTACCTATTATTTAGTTTCCATTTAAAATCTTTCATTCTGTTGTTCTATTACACAATTTATAAAATGACAGCTGCCTTTACTGTCAGCTTCTAAAGTCTCAAATCCAACAGAAAGCAAAAATTATAACGTTATATACCAACACCCTGGCCAGCAAAAAGCAGAAGATTAATATATAAACAACTTAAAACATATACTACTGCTTTTTTCTTTTCAAGTTTTCTCATAAGTGAAAGATTTAACTTTATGCTAACCAGTAAGTCATGTCACAGCCTTCCCTACAATACTGTAATGGTTAACTTTCTGTTCAAAATGAAACAAATCATAGAAAAGAGATTCCAAGTAAAGCCATCATTACAACATTTGACTTAGTATCTTACATCTTAGTACTAATGAAACAAAAATTATTATTAAACAATAGCAAATATTTAGAAACATCTAAAGAGGTAACAACTGGAACATTTTTAGCAATATACTACAGGGATCTTTTTTTACAGACAAAAATCTAAAGTCAAAGAGAAAGCAATTTAATTGCTGGTAAATTGTGCAAATGGTACAAAAAGTGGTGTAACAACAACTCAAAGCAGCATGATTTCACTTGACAAACTGCACTTAAACATCTCAGTTAACTGTATGATCAAAAGTTAGAGATCATAAATATGAGAGTCAATACTATATTTAAGAGATACAGAGAAAAAGACTTATGGAATGTGGAAGATAAGCAACAGAACCTGTTTTCAGTGCAGTGTGATGCCAACTATACAAACATTCTTGTTCTTTGCAGGAGATGAGCAATATCACAGACACCGAACAGTGAATATTGCAAAAGGCTGTGCTCTAACAGAATAATTATTGTAAAACTGTATCCAATTTGTTTCCAAAGACTGCTGGCAGGTCATAAATGGTTTTGAAAAGAGTTAGACACTAGTCAGAATCTAGAAATAAGTTGCACTGAATAAACAAATACCTGATCTGTTTAGTTTATCAAGCACAGGTTGGGAGGTGACATAACCATGGTGCAGTAATTGTTTTCACAATGATACGAATATTCATTATCACCGGACCTCTTTTCCTGAAGACCTCTAGGCTTGATTAACAGCACAAACTGAGGTTTGAAATAAAGTTCTGTGATCTGAGTAACATCTCAATGATTCATCATCAGCATGGCTTTTTCCAGTTCTAAAAATTTACCTTCATATTCAAATATCATGGAAATACTGCAGAGCATACTATACTCATGATGTAATAACTATCCTGGAACAAACACTAAGAATCTGACTTAGGTTAACAAATAATTTAGGCATAGAATTGGACATTTTTAAAATGTAAGACTCATGGAAGACATGAGTCTTGATGAATCATACTCAATGAATCAGTAATAACTATGATTTTCTTTGTGAATCTGTACCACCAAAACTGACAGTTTATGCTATCCTAGTTGCTGAGAACTTAAGCACTAAAAGCTAATTAAGGAGTAGTTATCACATTCTATAAAAGCTGGATTCAAATGTACTCATAGTTTCTCTAATATTTTGTTTGTCCTTAGTATCTGGAGCACATATTCCATGCAGTTCAAGTGTTTTACTTAGAATTTCTAAAAAGAAAGAACTACTGTACTTCTACAAGTTACTAGAGAATATTATTACCACTTTTAAAAAGGTTTTACTTTTCAATCTTTTAAATCTTCTAGAAGCATAGATATTTAGTAGTTTGACATTTTAATTAAAAAAAGAATTTGTCATACAGCAGTGTTTCGGCTTTGAAGCAAGGGCTTTGTATTTCGTAACAGCAGCCTGTGATCTGGGTCCATAGTATAGGTGTTTTTCACTTTCCGATCCTTTTCTTTCTGTTCTCTGTCAGATTCAAAGAAATTATTTTCACTACATTCTTCCACCATCTCATCATCCTACCAAAGACAAAATGACAAAAATATACACAGAATTTGAATAAACTGTGGGTTTGTTTTGTTTTGTTTTGTCTTAATTAAGGAGGAAACATACAACAGCATATGCAAGATTTATATGTTTTTCTTAAAAATAGCGATTGGCTCTTCTACCCCATATTGCTCACAATAGTAAATTTACTGATATGAAAAACAGCTTAACAATATATGCAAAGTTTCCTTAGAAATAAGATAAACTGCTAAATAAAATTATCTTCATTAATATTCTATAAGTTAGATTAGGTATGAATATTGGTCTTTTTTGGACTTAAAGCCTATCATTCAAAATCGACATTTCTGAAAATGGTCAGTTGCTTTAAATTCCCTCTCTTTTGAAAACTTAATGCAAATCATGTGCATTCTTCCCTCTCTAGCAACATATAAATTATCTGTGAATAAAAAAATCACAAATGAAGGGACAGGTTTTTTTTCTTAAAAAATTAGATAGGGAAAAGGGTTAGGTATCCTGAGCCTGACCTTCTCTGATGAAGTACAAATGCTTGAGCTGTTTAAATAAAGTTATGAATTATCAACATAATGTCATTTAAAAACCCACAACACACTGAAATAATTCATTAAAGTTTGAGATATTAGTAAATTAGGCCCTTATTTTACTCCAGAAGGCTAAATAAACCGACATAAGGGAATATATCTGATAATGAAACATGATCAATTAAAATGATTAAGATTCCTGATGTGGATCAAAAAAAAAGATAAAAAATAAGATTCAAATTGTTTCATTATGCTTATATTAATTAGCATTAAAGAGTCCACAAACCTAAATTTTTTGAAAGCTAACACAGAAATCATCAAGATTAGATCAAAACAGAATGTCAGGTCCCAGAAGCAATATTAAGAGTACTCAACATTACAAAACCATTTTAAAAAATAAGCTACTGACTTTGTAACTTGTTATATCCAAGTATGTGTCCTTGCTCTCCAAAGTTCTTCCACGTCACTTGGTCACCAGAACACTCAACTAAGACAAAGAGCTCTACTGCGGCTAGCTGGAGCTATTCACATTACAATGGGCTGGCTTGTACCAAACACGAACTGTACCAATAGCTCTGCTTGCCTTTCTCTCTCAAGACTCTGTCCAACTATTTGAAGGAAAATCCAACTCCACACAATGGTTCTAAGAGGATTACTGAAGTTGTATATCCAATTGACAATTTTTAAAAAGACATAATTACTTACAAAAAATTATCTTTTTATTTCTAGCTGGCACTAGCAAAGTGATCAAAAGTGAATGGAAGAATAGCTAGAAATAAAAATAAAGACTTCTTTAATAGGTCTTCAGAAAACTAGGCAAGAGTAACTTCAAATCTTGGTTGCATGCCTTGGTCAAAACTCATGTTAGTGCAAGAGCCCATAAAAGTGCCTTCAGTAGAGGCAGGGGAGAGAGGGAAGAAGTGACAATAAATCAACGTTGGCATTTTATTCTGGTTTTTATTACAGATTGAAAGGACACTGAAAAGAAAACTTTCTTCCACATTTCTTCTCATTTTTATTACTTGTTGCCAACACTGCTCTCAGTGTTTTACAGAATCTGTAGCAAGCTCTAAGATTTCTTATGCTACAGCAACCAAAGTGATTTAATTTGTTTACTTCACTGTTTATACATCTTTGTGGCAGTCATCCTTCTGAACTAAAAACTCAGGGTGCTAAATAAGTACTGGTAACAGAATTCCTCCCCTTGTCTACAGGACAGGCAACTTGAAAGCAAAATTCCTGACCTCAGTGCATCTCAATCCCACACTGAAGCGGCTTCCTCTAACAGAAGGAGGATAGATAATTCAATCTTCATTGATTCAGTCTTTAGTATCCCTGCCTTGACTGCTAGCAGGCATGCACATCAGTACTACTGAACTCAACAGGAATACAGAGTCGGAAATTGTATTTAATTCATTAATCACTGTTGTGAAGAAACAGCCTGAGCTCTCACATTTCTTTTTTGTAAAAGAATTGTTTGTTAGAAATATACTTGGAGCAGAGTTCCAAATTAATATAAAGCAACCTATGCAACTTATGAAAACATTTTTAATTTAAATCCCATTATAGACTTTATGTTGAATCGCTTTCTTCATATCCCCAAAGCAGAAGTATTAATATGGGCTTTTCTGACAGTCATGTATTTTACTGCAATCTTAGAATATTTCTCTTCTCCCAGATCTGTTGAGATCTGGTTAGAAATAATTACATTCCAGACAAAGGATGATGATGACACACAGGGAAATAAGTTTAATGAACTGAAATTCATTAAAATCAAGTTGATGAAGTACAAATTAGTCAGAATTTGTAGTCACAAGGACCTTACGAAGACAAAGAGAATACGTAATACTGCAAGACTTGCACATAACCATGAAATGGAAAGCAAAGTACTCAGTAAAGGAGCCAGGAGATTTTAAAGATAAAAATTGCAGGGTTCTTAGTGTGCAAGAATTGTTGTTTCAAATTCTATTAATCATCCCTCTTATAGAGAGGATTTACTAGGAAACACGAAAACATTCAATTACTTGCAACACCTTAAGCTTCAACCTGAACTGCTGACTATACCACTGCTACAGAGACAACAGCATCCTTAGAATCACAGAAACATTCAGGTTGGAAAAGATCCTTACAGTCACTGAGTCCAAGCATTTATCTAACAATGCCAAGTCCACCACTAAACCATATTTCTAAGTGCCACATATCTTTTAAATACCTCCAAGGATGATGATTCCACCACTGCTCTGGGCAGTCTGTTCCAATGCTTGATAACTCTCTTTCAGTGAAGATTTTTTTCCTAATATCCAATCTAAACCTCCCCTGGCACAACTTGAGACCATTTCCTCTCATCCTATCACTTCACACCTACCTTGTAACAACCTCCTTTCAAGTAGTTGTAGAGAGCAATAAGGTATCCCCTCAATCTCCTTTTCTCAAGGCTGAACAATCCCAGTTACCTCAGCTGCTCCTCATAAGACTTGTGCTCCAGACCGTTCATCAGCTTCACTGCCCTTTGGTCATGATCCCGTGCCTCTATGTCCTTCTTGTAGTGTGGGGCTCAAAATGGAATACAGTATTTGAGATGTGGCCTCACCAGTGCCGAGTACAGAGGATGATTACTTCCGTACTCTTGCTGGCCACGCTATTCCTGATACAGTCGAGGAGGCTACTGGCCAACTTAGCCATATGAGCACACTGCTGGCTCATGTTCAGTCGGCTGTTGACCAACAACCCCAGGTCCTTTTCTGCATGGCAGCTCTCCAGTCACTCATCCCCAAGCCTGTAGCGCTGCATGGGGTTGTTGTGACCAAAGTGCAGGACCCGGCACTTGGCCTTGTTGAACCTCATACAACTGGCTGCAGCCCATCAATTCAGCCTATCCAGGTCCCTCTGCAGAGCCTTCCTACCCATAAGCAGATTAAAATTCCCACTCAACCTGGTCGTGTCTGCAAAGTCACTGAGGGTACACTCAACTCTCTCATTCAGATCACTGATATTTAGCAGAACTGGCCTCCATACTAAGCCCTGAGGAACACCACTTGAGACTGGCTGTCAACTGGATTTAACTCCATTTACCATCACCCTTGGAGCCTGGCCATCCAGCCAGATTTTTTTACCCAGTGAAGAGTATGTCTGTCCAGGCCATGGGTAGCCGGTTTCTCCAACAGAATGCTGTGGGAAATGGTGTCAAAGGATTTATTAAAGTCCAGTCAAACAACACCCACAGCTTTTACACCTCATTGACTAAACCAATCACCTTGTCATAGAAGGAGATCAGGTTGGTCAAGCAGGACCTGCCTTTCATAAACCCAGACTGGGCCTGATCACCTGGTTGTGCTGTACATGCCACTTGCTGGTACTCAAGATGATCTGCTTCATAATCTTTCCTGGCACCAAGGTCAGGCTGACAGGCCAGTAGTTCCCTGGATCCTCCTCCCAGCCCTTCCTGCAGATGGGTAACACATTTGCTAACCTCCAGTCAACTGGGCCCCCCTTGGTTTTATTCACACTAATTCCCCAATTTTCAGTATCTATACTGCACCTACACTAAGCTGTAGGAGATTTTTCTTCACATGTCTTTGAAGAAATGCCAGATACTGGTGGCACTCAAATTTTGCTTTCCAATAGTTTTAATTAAAGCGCAAACTGATGACAACTAGTACATATTAGCAGCTCTATCAGAACCCCCCTGACTCTCAATATTCTAACGTTTTTTGATAAGGGAGAAAGAGCATGAGAGTTCAGGACATTCCAATGCTCCTATGTTTTCTGTTGTCCTTTCAATCACTTTATATGCAGTTTGACAGTTGATTTAAGACTAAGCATGCCATTAAAAGTTTTATTTTATTTTGTTTGTTTGTTTTTAAAAGCATGTTTTATTTTAATCAGGATCAGTAAAATTATTTGTTTCACTTTGTGGTCATAGGATTAGAACTGCTGGATTTCCAAAAGCAGTAGGTGGTAAAGGGAGAAGGACAGAACAGAAGATTTCCCTTTCAGCGGCAGTCTTTAGTTAAACTGCATTAAGCACATTTAACAGTTTGTCGTAGCACATGATTTAATTGTGCAGTTAACAGCTTTTCTAAATTGTAAAATCACTAAAAAGTTCAGAACCCTAAGAGAATGAAGTGATTTAAAAAACAGAGAGACCACTAGCAGTCCAGGCTAGGAATTGCAAATGGAGTCTGTGCATTCCCCATCTTCTGCAATTTATTCAATCCAGTAGAGAAGTGAGTGTATTACTGTGAAAGAATAAGTGTAATTCCTTTTTTACATTATTCCAGACATACAGTTTAGGGACATCTTCATAAAGTATTAACAACTTAAATGAAGAAACTGCCAGATAACAAGTTCCATTAGCCTGTTTTTGAAGTCACTAAGTAAGTGTGCTAACATTTAACTGAGATCTTGCTTGAAATTACATTTAACACGACATTAAAGTTGGGAATGTACGTTCCATTTAGGATAAAGCACAT